CTCCGGCAGCCTGTGCAGCGGCGGCGGCGGTGGTGGTGGCAAGCCCTGCGCGCTCCGGCGCCGCTTCCTCCTCGCCCTCCTTCTCCCGAGAGTTCCTCTGTGCAGGGCTGGCGCTCGCGGGGAGGCGCGGAGGGGAAGGGAGGGGACGGGCGGAGGGGAGCGAGGCGGGCGGGGAGGGCTGAAGAGGTTGGGTGCGCTTGTGCGTTTCACTTTCCCATTGTGAAAGTGGGATGCAACTGGCCCCCTCTTCATCCTCTTCCTCCTCCGCCCTCCACCTCCTGCCCGCGCGCCCTCCCTACCTCCACGCCCATCTCCCCTCCCTTCTTGATTCGGTGAGATAGGGAGGAGGGAGGTCTCGTAATTTGGGTTACTGTGTAGGTGGCCTCTTTCATCTATTCATAACAAAGCTCAGCTGCCTGCCGCGGTCGCCACGGCCGCCACAATCGCCCCTTGGCTCGCCTCGGGCTCCAGGGCGCGTCAACTGTGCACCGAGCGGGCTCCCGCGCCCTTCAACACGCGGGGCTGTTCCAACGCCCGGGTTTTGTTTACGAGAGCAGCGGGAGAGAGATGCAAAGCACCGGGAGCACGCACTCAGGGCGCTAAGGGGTTACAGCTGAGGCCCGGGGCTCTGGCCGCCGAGAAGCTGCGAGGGTGGCTGACAGGTGTGGAGCGGCGGGAGGGAGGCCCCCGGGCAGCGCGCGGGAGACGAGGCTAAGCTGGAGACCCAAGGACTGAGGCGTCCCTGTGAGAGAGGGTGGGCTTCCCCGGGTCAAAGAAATGAGGTGGGGGGAAAGGCAGGCGCCAAGTCTCCGGTCTTGGACAATGCCGGGTCCGGAGCTCTCGTATTTGAAAAGGTTCTCCAATCTCCCATGGCAACCGAGTCGCAGGCTCTCAAACCTCGCACTTAGAAAGTTCTGCTCACTATCTAACCTTAATAAGCATCGCTAACATTCATTGAGCACTTACTACTTGCCAGGTATTGTTCTAAATTGGATGGATTAGACGCATTTAATATCCATGACTACCCTATTAACTAGTGACTGTTATTATCACCCCCCATTTAACAGTGAGGAGAATGATCTGATCGTGGAAGTTATATAACTTGCCCGGGTCCCAGGGCTGGTAAACAGCAGAGCCCAGATTCCAGTCCTATCTTGTTCAGACTCTGTAACCCAGTGCAGCTGTGGCTCTTACAGTACCAGAGATCCTTGGGGGTGTGTGGGGGGGGGCTGGGGGAGGCGAAAGGGAGGGCACCGAGGGACTGTAAAGGCCCCCAAGTTAAATGCTGCAACACTCCCCCCAGTCCACAGATGCCCCGCTGGCTCACCCTTCCCCACTTCTTTCCTTGGGCCCTCAGAGGTCTCACCATCACACCCAAATATCCACAGGGCTGCCTCCAAATCCACCAAAAATATCCATTAAAAACCCCACTGGTACCTAAGGGAAGGTTTATGGTTTCTTTGCAGGGAGCCTCGCAGCAGATCCACAAATGCCTCCTTGTTTCCCCAGGTAGCTAGAATGCCTCTAGCACCACTGACTCGGGTAGATGATCCAAGGTATGTGCACGAGGGATTAAGAGGACCCTGTGTGCATCCTTGGGAATGATCTCTGTCCCTCCCCCAGGCAGTTTCCAGGCCAGAGCCCCCAGGGGGGATAGCTGGTCGCAGCTTTCTTGATGGGCACACAGGCTTCCTCCTGGTACTGAGCTCTCCTGAAGGAACAGCTGTTTCGGGCTTTAAACTTCTGCAACAATGCTTGGGGCTCTCCCCAATGCTGAGGGATGAGACAAGAGCAGTTCTGGAAAGCTTAAAGGAAAGGGGGTAGACATGAGGAGAGGCAAGAGGCAGAAGAGAAATATGTGAGTTTCTTCTGCCTTAGATGTGCAGGGAGAGGATGAGAGCATCATGGCTCTCATATTCTGAATTCCAAGCAGTCATCTTTCCATTCATAGTTTTCTCGTTTGAAATCGGATAACATTATCTTTGCCTGCCAGTAGGCAGCAAATGCTTTCCTGCACGATACAAGGTTGGCTCTTTCTGCTGTGGTGGTGGTGGTGGAGGGGTGAGGAGAGGAGGGTGGGCGAGGAAGGGAAAAGACAGGAGATGCCCAGGTTGCTGTTAATCAGATCTTAGGTAAGGCAAATCCGATGTCCTCTATTCCAAAACAAGCAGTTCTTACTATTCCCTGCCCACCTGAAATGTTATAAGAATTTTTATACTGCTGGGAATGGAAAAAGTACTATCTTAAAGACATTCGTAGAAGCTTGTAGAACCCTTCACAGCATAGTAGGGGACTTGTTTGCTGGTATTCTGATAATTCTCCCTGTGAAGGATGAAGGACACAGTGATCCTCGTGATCCTCGCTGCCGTCGTGAGCTGGCTGTGGCAGTGTTAAATGCTGAGAAGCAACAGTTCGATTCCATTCTGGAGATAGTTTTACTTCACTGGTAACCAAGTAATTTCTCTAAGTCCTGTACAGTTTGGTACAATCAGTAGCAGACCATCTTGGGAGCTATTTGGATTAAACATACTTGATGCGGCGGCATTTTGATCACTACTCAATTCATTGCTGCCTCGTTTTGAAAAAGAAACAACCTTTTAAAAATACTACCAGCAAGAAGCGTAAGTGGCTTTGATGGCTACGGTTTCTTGCCATTCTATGGAACCATGAACGCCATGCTTGAGAGCAGGCTTCTTTTTCCTCCCACTTAATTGTAGGCAGGCTCCCACGGGGAAAGAAATCACAATCAGTGCCTACATTTGGCATAAAAATTGTAGGAGACTAGGAAGCCTGTAAATATATTCATTGCTGATTCTACCCCATTTTGCTAGAAACATGTTTGCCCCTTTCTGATTTTCTTGTGTACTAAAGCTCCACCTTCAGGACACAAGTTCACATTTGAAAAGTGTGGGAAATACAAACAACTGAAACCAATATTTAGGCGCGTGATTCCCTGTATTTTTTATCACTTTCTCCTTCGGATAGGACCGGCTGGCAAAGCTCCCCTCCCCACCTCCTACTGGGTGTCACTCCTCTCATGCACCGGGGACTCCTTGTAACACAACCTGCTGAAACCCAAAAGAAAGGAAGATGGTGTAGATTTATCCTCCAGACAGCGGCCTGCTACCACGGAAACAGGCAGCTTAGACTGATTCCCGGCAGTTTTATTTGGAGCATTCTCTAGATGGGGAAGTCTTCATAATGAGAAAATATCAACTCCCTCAGGCACTGAAGGCAATCTGGGTTAACCAGACCATCCAAAATCAGACTCATTTCTGCTGGACAGGACTTTATAGATTCAGTGGTTTCCTGCTGAGACTGAGGACATTAAGATCTGTTCATTCGGGCAATTGGTCATAGTCACAAGATGGTTATCATTGGTGCTTCGGGTTGTTTTCCTGACTTAAAGAAGAAATCTGACAATGGTTTGTAGGGTGACTGGGCTGGTTGAGATCAAAAGCAACCAAGGTGATTAGTTCTGGAGAGCAACAAATTCTCCATATAGCTACAACATGGCACCCGGTGGGGCAAATAGTAACAGTGTTGTCCTCTGAGGGCCCAAGACAAGCCATTTCCTTCTCCACAGCTTTACTCAAATCTATGTGGTCTTCCACAGCAAGACCCTTATCAACCCCTTTTAGTGACAGACAGGAAAGAGAAATGAGCCAGCCTTCTATCTCGTCTGCTGATGAGTAGATCTTGAAAACTGATAAGATGAAGAGTCTTTTAATAAGTTTGAACTGATGCCGAGAGAGATGAGTTGAAGGCAGTTCAATCAACATGAGAAGCTGGGCAGAGGCAGCACAGTGAAGCTGCGAAGAACTTTGGTCCTGGTCCCTGACCACCCAGCCTGGCTCCCGGCCAGTGACAGGGCTTCTGCGGGCTGCCCAGGGACCTTTGTCCTAGGGCTTGGGGTCCAGTGGTGTTCTTCAGTGGGGGGCGTTTGGGTTCAGCCCCAACACTACCGTTGCTCTCTTCCCGCATCCTGACTTAAGTACATGGTCACCAGCAGACTTACGGTTACAGATGGAAGGATGGATTGGATATACAAAGAAACAATTCTTTACTTAAGGTGCTATGACTTTAAATAAGAGCCTTCACTCACCTTTGGGGATGAATGAGTTCTTGCCCATGGAAAGGATGTAAAAAATCAGGTTTCAAAGAGGATGGTACCATTTGAAAGCAAAATAGAGCGAATCATTGGCCATCCTGGTGTTTTCCCAGACCAGCTGGAGTTCACCCTGCATGAAGCACACAAAATTATCCGTTAATTACTTCTCCAGATTTGGGGTATCTCTGTAACGTGCTGAACAGTCTCCAGGTCACCAGCTTTTCTCTCCCTTTTATGAGATTCAAGTCTCTCCCCACTCACATTTTTCTTGCTGTTCTTTAGAAATACAGAGTAAAAACTCAAGGACTAGATAAAATGCTGATCGCTCTTTAATATTTGTGTTTCCTGCGTCTCTGTTCTCCCATCAGAACCCTGAGGTTCTCTGTCACCATAATCCTAGGCCCTGACTCCTCTGATAACTGGCAGCTTGGCATAAATGCATTCAAAGAGAAGAGTTGCCAGAAAACCAGCCCTCATATTAATAACAACTCAAACTCTTGAAATGAATAGCAGAAGATAAGATAAACACACAGATAACTTCATAGTCACTCATATTTCTGCTTCCTTGAGATTCTGACAGGGAGATGCACTGAGCTGACAGTAAAGTTGCTGGACTTGGCAATGAGCCTTCTGGTGCTCTCCACCA